GAAGATTCACCTGCGCATGGCTTTTTGAGCTCCAGAATTCCTTCCCAACATTTCAACTATAAATAGTTGAAAGATAAATAAAAGTTACAAAAATAAAACAAATAAAATAAATAATAATAAAATTGTTTAAAATGCAAGATAAGCAATATTTGTGAAACTAGGCATTTTTGTTTTCGATTTATAGAAACGTATTTGCATTGAACTGCAGATTTCATTTTTCTGCTTTGCTAACAAAATAGTTACTCACCTACCACCAGCTCTACCTACCACGAGTAAAACGAGAGCTCAACAAAACATGGGAATAGTGAAGCTACATTTATGTTCAGAAACAAAACAGGGCAACAATATCAGCATTTGCTCAATGGATCACGAAAACAGGACAAAAACCTGATCGAAATGGGATCATTGATCCGGAAGTTGAACAGTCATATTAAGTCTTTAAAAAAAATTATACAATGCAATTGTAAACAATGCACTATATATCATTGTTTTATTAAAATAAACCTTATTTTTCTTTTTGATGATCAGTATAAGCTCTTTATAGAAACAGTTAAGCATCAGAAAATATTTTATTTTTAACTGAAATTTGTGTACCGATCTTAATTGTTTACTGTCATCTGGCAATGCACAGTAAAGTAACATACATGTATTGTATGTGGATTTCTTGTAGTGAGCTGTTGATACTAATCCTGAGAAAAACTGTTTAATGACAGAAACAAACAAGAAGGCCATGTATTATGACAATGAGATCTGATAAAATGACAACTTAACACTGAGCAAAATATACCATTGATAGACATTAGTATGAGACATTAAAAAATAAAAAAAGTAAACAAAACAAAAATAAAAAATAATGAATTATCTTATTGTTTTGAAGATGAAACATTCATTGAACCAACATCAAATTCAACAAGAACTCTAGGCAATGAAAAGAAAATAACAGCAGACTATTTCCAATTTCTTTGATATTTCTCCTAGAAATTGAAAGAAGGTAGAGTGCTCAGAACTTTACAAATGCCACTGCTATTTCCTTCATGAAAAAGGCAAAAGGGGAAAAGTACAAAAAGTTTAATTCAAGGAATCAATTTAGGGAATAGAAAATTGTGCTATAACACACACACAAAGAAAAGAAAGAAAAAAAAGAGAGAGAGGAAATTCTTTTAATTTATTTCTCGAAAGGAAAATATACAGTAAATACTGTTCTGCTTCTTTAAATCTCTTCTGAACTTCTACACTCTAAGTAAAAAAAAAAAAAAAAATAATTGTAAGATTGGCTAATAAAATATAAGACTAACATCTGTTAATCTATCTTTTCAAACTTGCATCTGTTCAAGAAATATTAAGAAAGCTGGAAAGAAGGACTAAATATAATTGTTAACATATTATTTCTGATTTAAAAACACAAATCATTATTTAATTTATATTTTTTTGATAATAAAACAATTACTTCATTTAATTAAATATTTTCTGGTGATGAGTCTATGTTTCTCAGTTACTGACAATTGTGCATTGTAAATTAAATTTTCTTTTTGTGCTTTTTATTTTTTTGTTCTCAACAACAAATTTTTATTCTCCAGAGGAGAAAAATAAATTATACCTTTTAGAAATTTTATTTTATTGCTAATGCAATTTTCATTCATGAATATTTGCCAACGTTTCTGTCTCCTTGAGAACCTTTTAAAACAATGAAAAATTTATTTACATTTTCCAAAATTATTGAATTGTTTTCATCTTTCTAAATTATTTTTTACTCAATAATAAAATCTTATGTTGCTAAATACTACAAATCTTCGATAAAAATGGAATGAATAATTAACCATTAACAAAAAACATGCAAATGCATGAACTTCCCAAGTTTAATTATAATAATCTTAATATACAGCACAAATAAAATGAAAACAAATTGTTTTTACTGTGCATTAATTTATTTTCACTACTTGCATTCACAAGGGAGGGGTGTGTAGCAAGCGTTAAATTATTATCGGGGGGGGGGTTAAAGGGGTGCGTTACAGAGGTGAGAGGGAGTATTCAAAACACTCCAAATTCACGTTATGCAATTTATGGAAGACCCCTTTACATGTTCTTGTAGTTTAGTAACTCACCCAAAAAATGGCACCAGTCCTATGAGCACTTCTTTATCTGGATTGGCAGCAAGTTCAGCACTTGTTTGAACCAAGTGATTTACTACACAGCGTAAATAGTGCTGGAGGCGTCGACGCCGTTCTTCAACAAATCTGGCATCCTGTACACAAAAATCATTCAATTCCAATTTGAAGATCTTTTGCACATCTTTAAAATGATCAATCATCAAGCAACATGGTCATTTCTGTAATTTACTGACTACAGACTAACTACAAACTTATGTTTACTTTCCTGTTGGGCTCTTAAATTAAAATTTGAACATTCTGTAGAAACTTCTAGTGACGCTCTCAACTTTCCAGCTACACCCCTCTGAAAACATTATGACACCCTTCTGAAAAATATTTCTACTCAGATAATCCTAGAAATTTGTAACAAACAACGACACGGGCATGCAGGGATTAGTTTGTATACCCTGGCTGCTAGTGGCCAACCAGCTTCCCTCCCCACTATCCAAATTTTTTTGTTATCTGTAGTTGGTCCAATATTGGTGAAAGCCTACCGTTTTCAATTGCTTGATCCTTCTTGTGGAACCATCTCATTGAAAATTGTCTCAAAATATCATTAATTATGGCCTCACTTGAAGACATACAACACAGACTTATTCCTGATACTTGTTAGACAAAGCATTTTTACTACACTGCAAAGTTACTACAAATCCTCATGAAATAATGAGTAAATGCATAATGCACTGCATAAACAACTGCCCTGACACACACATTGATTTTCTAAGAAGAATACGCTGTGCTCTTCACAAATTCGATGATTCTAGGGACCTGATCACCTGTGAGTCAGAACTTTGTACCACAGAAAACATCTCTATTGAACATTCTGGTTCACTCTCATTACATTGAGAGAGAAATGTGTGGACATAATCATTTTATAATTTAAAAACTTTTTGACAAATGGTATGTTAATTAATATTAACAAAACATTCCATTTAAAATAATTTTGTAATAATTTTGTAAAATAATGAGTAATCACGTTCACAGACAGGATGAGCTGGACAAGGCCTGGCTTTGAAGGAGTGAGGTGGGGAGATACGTCATCAATTCCCAACTAACTAGTGCATATTGGCTGTGGCTTCTCCCTGATCCTCCTGCCTCTGGCCCAGTGAAGTAGAGAGCGTGCGTAACACCCAGGCCTAGCTAAGATGTCAGAGCTGGTATTAGAGCACTGCAGAAGCAGTAGGCCACCTACAGATCGCAGTAGAGTGTACAGTGGGTGCATTATTTTTTATCATGTGACATACGGTTCATTGTAATTTCATTTCTCAAATTCATCAAACTCTCATATTTACTTACCACAGCAGCACTAGGGATACTGGGGTTGAATGCACATCACGCAACTCAAAATTTTCTAAACTGGACAGTCTATATGAGCCAAATAAAGTTAATATGTAGTAATATAACTTCCAAGTACAGGTATTGGAACAACACAGTAATTAAAGAACATGTCCAGCAAAATGATCTGTTAGATTCAAAATGATCTGTCCCCTCTTTGGTTAGCAGTAAGGCCATAATAAAACAACCTCTTTTTCTTTCTTCTTTCTCTTTTCCTCTTCTAGACACCTCTTTGAATAAGGCAACTAGTACTAACTCATGACTTCTTGTGTTCTTCTTACTATTACCTCCTTCCACATTCACTTGGTTCCCCTAATAAGTGATGACAACTGTACAAATTAATGTATCATCAAAAGGGCCTTGCCCTACGGTATGTTTTTGCCCTACATCCCTAGAGAATTACGTTGCCTCATATTCACATAGTACATGACTCTGAGAAATCACTAGGTGCTTTGTGAATCTCGTGTAGCATTTTGCTTCAGTCATTTTTTTAATTTAGGACACAACAATACCACAGCAGCAAAATCTTTATGGTACAATAATTCTGCTTCCACGAGGGAGTATAACTCTTTGCCAGAAAATTAACTTCCCAACATAAATTTTTTACATCTCAAACACATGTTTCAATTCTAAACAAATATTTCTTGTAGCAATGAAATGATCAAGAGCATTTTAAAAAATGTTACAAAATTAACAGTATTCATAAAAGAATTGACAAACATAAAATATAGCATTACTTTCACTTTTATTCATTTATTTATATTGCAAAGGATAGGTTGATCTAAAATGAAGACTGCAGACACACTTCGACAAGCAGTCATAAGCTGCATTAGAAACCTTCATCACAAAATAAGAAAAGGTGCATTTAACTTTGTTCCCCAATGCTTTCCGACTGCTGAGAATAAGCACTATGCACCAGTGGTACTTTTAAAGACGAATATTTGCTGCTATTATGCTTTAGAACAAATAGTTTTGGAAATCTAATGTAGCAAATATCACTTAAGTTTAAGAACTTTTAGCCTCATGTTTAATCCCATTGAACTCACAAATTTAATTGCTATGAAGGAAGATTTTTCCAAGTCATAACCGTAAAGTGGGGTGAATCCGATCTAGTCTTCTGAATCCAATTATTCGCACAATTTCCAACAATAGATGGTCTATGGTTGGCATTACAATCAGAATTACGAAAGTGATAGGCGCTTGTGATTTTTGAACAAATTACCTACAACAATGCACTTGATCTAGTAAGCTGTAATAAACACTGCCATTGTTAGTACAGCTTCAGTATATCTTGGCTTTCGTTAAGTGAAGAAGAACATAAAATTAATTATATTTTACCTATTCTTTCTGTATTCAGATCGGTGAGTTTTTACACGTTTTCTTTCTAACCAAACTTCTTTCATACAAATATGGAATTCAGTAAATATATTCAAATGATGTGCATTGTTATAATTGTTTAATGATAATCTTTTAATTATTTAGGGTGAATCCGATCATGCAGACTTACTAAAGAAGATTGTAAGACGAAGATGTAAATGCAACTAGAAACCGCAATACTATCTCGGTGTTGCAAAAAAAAGTAAATTTTATGTTGTGCAAAATTATGATTTCTTAAATAGAACTCAGATTTAAAATATAGTGTTCAAGCTGATCTGAATAGAGAAGGCTGGGTTGAAAAGCACAGACAGCAAAAGCAAGACAATCGTCCAGGTCCTGAATGCATGAGAGGATTTCTGATAAGAACTAAAGAGCACACAATCAGCATAGGAGAAAACTTAAAAAGAGCAAGAGCAGCAACGATCCATGCTATTACGAGGGATTATTTTAAAAACCTTCAAGTATCCTTGGATGGAATACCTCCCGCTAATATAATAAACTATGATTAAACAGACTTTAGTGATGACCCTGGTGAAGTGAAAATCACTGAATTGAATTGAATTGAATTAGTGCCTTATTTTACGTGGCGAGACTCAGGCCATGAGGCCTGCACTTTCGTCTGACCACGCAAATTTCGCTACGCTCCTTTCACCAACTAGCAGGGAAGGAGGTATTTCTTGGGCAAGAAACAGGCGATTTGAATTTAGCTCAGAGGCGTCATTTAGACTTGAGGATCTTTTACATGCAAGTAAATCTACTAACATGGGTCAGCCTGCTTTACTTCCCCTTCGAAGAAAGGCATAAGAAGGATTGTTTTCACCCTTAAAAATCCACGGCTTCGATCGGGTTTGAACCCGCCAACTTGGGTACAACAGTCCGGTACATTAACCATTACACCATTGTCGCATCATTGTGAAGCGAGGAGCAAGACATCTTGAGCAGACAGTAAATAACTTAAGACCAGTACAGTGTAATATTCGCAGCTGCTGCTGATGGCACAGTGCTTCTACCCTATACTGTTAAAACATCTTTACAATACATTGACTGATTGCAGCAACACTGGTGCAAGTTACAACAGAAACCAGAGTAGCTGGTTTGATCTTGTAATGTTTTATCATGGTTCATTCAAATTTTATTACTAAAGTGAATGAAATTACAAGTTCCAAAATTGATTAATGGTGATAAATGTAATTTGTAAGTAAATTAATTACTTTGTTTTTTTATCTTTTCCAAAACTTTAATGACAACATAAGTCAGTTTATATGTTTATTATCTGTTTATAAATGTGAAGTTTTTTTTTATTGCAGTGAAAACAGAAATACAATTTTTTAGAACCCAAATAATGATTGTACTTAAACATTGGAAGGCTAATTCTGATTTAAAAGTACAAATAAGTATTTGATCGGATTTACTCCACCCTGTAGGGTGAAACAGACCAGAAAATATATTAAAAAATAAGATGTAAAATATAAATGTACATTAATTTCATTTAAGTATAAGCTTCTTTCAAGGTTTAGTCATTATTCCAAAAGGTAATATGAAATGATAAAAATTAATGTTATATTTCGTACATAATCTTAAGTTATTGATTGGATTCACCTCACCATACGGTACTGTGAATTTTAACTGGCAAGGACAGAATAAATTTAGGACAGTTAGACAATTCCAACACAATTCATCTTCAGGAGTTAGAAAATATTAATAATAATTTTAATACAAGAAATATCAATTCCCACATCTCTGAAATGTGTTAGTTATTGCGAAGATTATGGTTTCCTACAGTATAAATAACTATTCATGTTTTTTATTTTTTATTTTGATAAGTATGATTTAATAAAAGTTCTTTTTAATTTAGGTTTTATCTCTATTTTCACACATCCTGAAAGATTTTCTATTAGAGAAACCTAAATAGATTGGTCAATAATGAAAAGAGGAAGTAAAACAAAGATATTATATGCATTATCATTCATACAAAGACATAGTATTAAGTCACAAGAGTCACCTTATTTCCTATAGTCTTCTTTGGAGGGAAGTCGAAAGTGCTCACAACAGCATCCTGTTTCTTTAATTCTTTGTGAAGAGAGTAAAACTGAGCATAACGACGATAAATGTTCCATTCATCATCTCTAATTCGGATGAATACCTGGGCAAAATATAAAATGAATTGTTTTCAAAAATTCCAAAAATACCTTAATACAATATTTAAAAGTAGGGATGGATTCATGCAAAGCAAAGTAAACACTATATAATTCCTTTTAAACACCCCAATAATTATTGTAGCAAAGATGACTATGATATAGCTATTAACATAACCAATAATGGGTTACTACTACACTGAGACCAAAAGTTAAATATCAAGGTGAAGCTGATACTTTTAGTATGGATGAGGTAATAATAACATGGTAACATTTCATGGTATGTTCCGCATTTTATCGGTAACCATTAAATCTCATGATTTATGTGAAAATTTACAGTATTGCAATAGTAAACAAATGAACTCTGTTGCTGCAACTCCTTAGAACAATGAGAAAGGTGGAATGTCCACTTCTGGAGGCAACACCTTCACACTGTTAGAAGTATATTAATACACATTTTTCTAATTGTACTATTAAAATAATATTACAATTGACAATAATTATTCCTGGAACTATGGGTTACTTTTATTTTGTTTTATTTAAATCTTTTATTTTATTTTGTCTTTTTTTGTACCCCATCATTTTTATTCTTAACAAACAGATGAGTTGTGATTAATTGATGGTTATTTACATTGCTAAGGATGATAAAACCCATTGCTCCGGAAGTTAAATTTCTTAACATACAGATTGGTACAAGTGCACTTAACAAACCTGTCGGGTTGCATGTTAACATGCAGTTAAAGACGCAGTTAAATAAAAATATTTTAATGTAACATTTTTAAATTACAAAAGTTATACTTTATTTGAATATTCATTTTACTTTGTTGTGTACTACTACATAGTGAATTCTGCACAACGCACAGCGAGTTTTTGACAGAAAAACTCATCATATAATTCCCTCGCACGAAACTATTGTTAAAACAGCACATATTTTCTCACATTATTTCTAACTAAAAGTTTTAAAAAAATTCACATAGTTAAACAAAAATGAGACCTGCACTATTCTCTTAAGCATGAAAAAAGTGCTGTTGTAACAACTAGTTTGTTAATAGATTAGCATGGTATCCCTGGAGAGTATTTTAATGTTAGAAATTTCTTTCTTTTTAATTTTAGGAAATTTTTGTCATTTAACAGTTCTTAACAAAAAAATATTTTTTTTTTTTTTTTAACTTACAGTTCCTGGTTCTTTCAATTTTGGGTACAAAAACTTACATGAAAAAGGGTCAATTAAAATATTTGTGACTTGGTCCATATGTGTGACTAACTCTCAGTAAGAGTTGCTGAAGAGACAGCAGCTATAGTGGGTCTTAATTAAAACAAAGAGACAAATTGCCGGAAACAAATTGCAAGAGGTTTAGTAAGTGTAAGATCTTTTGAAGTAAAGTTTCTGCACAACACTGATTATTATTTTCTTTTTGGTTCCAATAATTGGCAGAATTTCTTACCTGGTACACATGATGAACATCTGAAGAACCACCCGTAAGAAAAGCTGAAGGAATCCAGATATTGACCAGTGCTCGAGCTGCAGCGCCTAGAGAACTGGCATCATAATCAGATGTCACACTCACATCATCATCCGATGTCTGCACATCATCAGGAAGAGGCCCTCGGAGATCTACCAATTCCTCCCGGAGTCGGCGTAATTGGGCATCCTTCAGCTGCAGTAATCTATGCAAGCGCTCATTGAATTCCATCAGCTCTCCATGCATCTCTGCAACCTGCAACAAGCCAAGACTGAACACATGCAAGTACAAGTTGTACTAGAATGCAATATGCAAAGTACCTTTTATCTAACCCTCTGAATGATAGAATTGAATTGAATTAGTGCCTTATTTTACGTGGCGAGACTCAGGCCATTAGGCCTGCTCTTCCGTCTGACCACGCAAATTTTGCAAACCACCTTTCACCAATTAGCACAGAAATGAGGGATTTTTTGGGCAAGAAACAGGCGATTTGAATTTAGCTCAGAGGCATCATTTAGGCTTGAGGATCTTTTACATGCAAGTAAATCTACTAACATGGGAGAGCCGGCTTTACTTCCCCTCCGAATGTAGGTGTAAGGAGGATCTTTTTCACCCTTAAAAACCCACGGCTTTGAAAACCCGCCAACTTGGGTACAACAGTCCGAAACACTAACCGTTACACCATCGCAACGCGCAAATGATGGTATAATGAAACTGCAAATATTTGAAGAAGTCGAGAAGCATATTAACAAATATTATACAAAGAAATGTCATTATAATGAACAGTGATAGAAGAAAAATTTCAGCATTACAGAATTATTTTCAGTCCAGTCTACATACAGTTTACTTACTTTAAACTAAATAATTTCACTTTAACTAATTTTCATTCAAACTCTCGCTATAACAAATTACAATTTTTCTTTATCACCTTAGTTTTCAATCCAATGTTTAAAAAAAAATTGAAATACATCCTGTTTTATATTAAATACTTTTCTTATTATATTGTTTATTATTATTACATAAAATATTGAACCATGGTAACCATTTACCATATGAATGGTCAAGTTATGCACATCTTCCAAAGTAAGAAGTACACCTAATGCTATTGGTTGGTCCGAGTGCACAGTTTACAAACAACCAAGAAAAGATAAAACTGTTATCTTCATCATATTAACCAATATCTAATTTCCTCAATCATAAGCACAGACCCTTTTTTAAAAAAAAGAGTCCAGAGCATTATACTTGTATTTTGTTCAATTTCAAAATTCAAATAAAAAGTTCTCTGAAAAAATATGAAAGCCTCCTGCAATTACTGTATATAATTATTTCCTGTTTTTCTCTTCGAATAATTATTCATGTAGATCTTCTGGATATACTACAGTCATACTGCACTAGGTTTTCTTAACAATTGGCTTTCATTATATAGTTCATTTGTATTTTGGGAGATATTTTTAACATCACATAATCCAGTATTAAGGCTCCCAGAGACTGATACAGTCAGTGTTTGGTGACAGTTTTCATCCGATAAAGTAACAGTGCTCACTTCTATTTAAGCAGGGGATAGAAATGCAAAGTTCCTCATAGTACGATTTTTGAGCCCATGCGTTTTGGTACTTTTTCCTTTTTTTCTTATACTTTACTTACTTCCTCTTTACTATGTTCTTAAGCCAACACGTGATGTGAAATTTTTGCTGCGGATGTTCTTCTCCAGTCTGTGGGAGTCTTTACATCTAACTATCTCAATATTGCTGAGCAAAGTTTGTAATTGTTCAGAAAGAACTCTCTTACTGCTCTATAACAATGTTAACAGCTATAAAGTTTACAACAGGTCTGCTCTACTCAGGAGCTTGTTGAGCAGCCGCTTGCACATGACAAGCCCAGAAATGCAACTGTGAGCAGAGTTTGTGTTCAGGAAGGGATGGAGGACAGAACTGAATTACAGTGAGTGGCAGAACAGAGCTTCAGAGAGCATGACACATCAGAAGCATATAATCTTTTGCTTCCCAGCATTTGTGCAAGAGAAGTTTTACTCCACACACGCACACGCCCACACTCACACTCACGCTCACGCACACGCTCACACTCACGCGCACGCTCACGCTCACACGCACGCTCACGCGCACGCTCACGCTCACACGCACGCTCACACTTACAACGTTATTTTATATTAAGTTAACTGATTTTAAACCATTTACAGTAAAACTTCACTTATACGTTTTTCAGGAGACTGAAGTGAAAAAATTTATAAGTGAGAAAAACACCTAATTGAAATTGAATATTATGAAGGGAAAAAAAAGAAAACCAAACTTTTTTCAACTGGTGCACCGCACTCTTGTTCAATGTTAAGTTACAATTTATTTAGCCAAAGAATAGTAAATGCTGTATGTAACTATGGGGGAGAAGTACCATCTGTGCACATTTTCTAGTGCTCTAGAATCTCTTCCCATTTCGACTATAAATAGTTGAGCAATTAATAAAAGTTTTGAAGGAAGCAAAGTTAGTAACTTTTGAAAACTAGACATTTTAGCTCCCAATTTATGTAAAACCTGAGGTAAGCCTCTTCTCATCTGCTACCATTCTTTCTCGCTGTGAAGCTGAGCTAACTAAATAGAAACACACTCGACACACTCCGCCGCCCCCCCACCTCCAACTCACTTACCATACTTCCAGCAAAAGGTGACTGTCCAGAAACCACAAAACAAGCAAAACAAGGGGCCATCTCCACATTTGCTCAGTGAATCACAGAAACTGAACAAAAACCTAATCGATAATGGAAGCTGAAGTACTGGTCGTTGATCCGGAAGCAGAAGTACATTAATTGTTACTTTCAAGATTCTGATTTTCACACTTCATGCAGCCAGGCCTTTAGGTCTATTTCACAGGAGCAGGAGTGTTGCATTGACACATATCACCTAACACTCACCATTAGCCCTAGATATTGTGCACCAAACTATTTTCAAGATCTTCAGTGTCACCCTTAGTTTGTTGGATTCCCTCTTTCCACAGTTCTCCTCACCTCCAAGCATCCATCCTCAAGCTCCATATTTCCCCTTTCATGAGTCGAGGCACAAGTACTCATGCTTGCCAGGCCAACAGTGTAGGCATTATTTACAGAAATATATGTTAAACCAAATCCTATTTTTTTTAACATTTGTTTTTTGACATGAAAGTCCATACAATTTCAAAATAATATAAGTAAAAACCCTTACCTGAATTAGTTTTTTTTCATATTCACGTGCCTCGTGGTGATAATCAGGTGCAAGAATTTCTCCAGGACGTGTCTGCTGTATAACTTGAAGGCTTGCAAGGGCTTCATGGGCTTGCTGACCATCTCTTTTTAAGAGTTGCACTGCACCCACATACTTACGCAATTGATGCTTCAGCAATTCATTCTCCCTGCAAAGAAAACATACCACTGTACTTTAACACCGTCAAAACTGAACACGATAGTATTTTCAGATTTTTTCAAGAGAAGGATCACAGAAAAATAATTTATTAGTAAGGTCGGTCTCCCAGAATTGGAAAGGATTACATTTGAATAGTCAAAGAGTAAGGTTCAAGAGAGAGAGAGAGAGAAAGAAAGAAAGAAATAATTTCTTCAAAACATAATGCACATTACCTACCGAGTAAGTGCCTGGGTGCGTGCATCCAATCGCTGCATACGTTCTGCTTGAGAACGTTGGGAAGCCTCTGCTTCAGCTTGCAAATGAGTGCTGCGCTCCTCAGCTTGTTCAAGCAGCCTTCGCAGTGACCTCACTTCTGCTTGCAACTCCTCTTTACGAGCTAACACAGTTAGTAATGCATCACGCATCTCTCCTGAACAGAACAAATGTATAGAATGTATATTTGAATTGGAAGATACAAACAAATATTTTTAATTCAGAAAGAAAACAATATCTTTTATCAAAAATAAATAAACAAAAAAGTATTAAATAATTTTTAAAAACATCACTGACAAGGAGATACACTACAATTTCCATGCATACACTACAAGTGTGAAATTTTCAAAACTTTAGATAATTTTAAAAGATAACTTCATTGAGGACAGCAAGTTTAAAACATTTGAAAGAAATAAATAATTTAATACCTTTCTAAAAATGAAAAAATTAATTTTTCGTTTTCAGATGTTCAGAAAAAGAACTTGGATGTATAATACTTTACTATAATTGGAGTAAGTCTCACATAGCATGGCAATTTATTTGCAAATCAGAAAAATGGGAGCATGTCTTCAATAGCCTACCACTCAAGGAGCCGACAACATCCATAGGGCTGTTCTGCACAATGGCACTGCTCTCTTGTGGTGAAAAGTCAACACAATTACTCTGCAACAATTTTTGTGTCGCCAGTAGAGCAGCTGCAGCACATTCTGTGTCCTGAAAGGAGAACTGAATATTATCATATGTTTATCTGATGAAAAACAAATCAGAGTTCAAAGTCCAAGATCTAAAGAAAGGTTGAAATAACAATGAATCCCAACTCTACAATTCATGATCAGTGGTCCAACACAAATAATTTTCTTTTAAAACTCTTAACAATTTCTATACAACAAACAAAACAATTCAAAATAATTTTAAATATTCTAAAATAAAACTTTTCTATATTTGTTGTAACAGCCAAAAGAGCCTCAATGACAACCTATCTTTCTTCGGGTCTCTGTTTCTTACGAACTTGAAGACACAAGGATTCAAAGAAAACAACAAGAAAATAATCTAACAATCATCTCACGGACATCTTCACAATTTTTAAAAAATGTACACGATTTTTTTTAATGAACATATTTTTTAGAACAGATTTCATTTTTTGTTTAAGTTAAGTTCAAAACGAACAGTTTGACACCTTTTTGTCTGTTGCCACAATTCCATTAGCAAAGATATCCATTTTTGATAAATGATAAAAATGTGTAATAAATATAGAAGTTTGCTGAAGAACAGCAATTGAGGGATTGTGTGGAAGAAGGGTGTAATTCAAATTATGGCATTTATCTGTAAAACATTTCGTAATGTTCTTTAGGTGACTTTCTACCACCCCTTCAGATGGTACTGAGCTATCCCCAATAGATGACATTTGAAAGGCTTTTGAAATTCTGAATTGTGCCCTTCTGTTGTAACATCGTTACCTCTATGATCTTGCATCATTTGGTATTATCTTGTATCATTTATGATCTTGTATCATTTGGTTCCTGGTGTTTAGAACATTGAAAGGATGGCTGAAGAATACAGAAAATGTGAATTTGTCCGCTATATCTGATTTTTCATCGAATGAAGCCTCCAGATGATAGCAATACTTCTTCTAGTTGAGATAAAAATAAAGGACAAAAAAGGAAAACTTTTCCGGAAATCAGAAAACGGGAACCTAGAATGAGTAAGGTAAAGTGTTATGTTATCCTGTTACTGGGAAGTTTCATATGCCTCACAAATCATCCTCTTCTTTTTTTGGTATTGAAGGGACACTCTAATGACATTATTTATTCATGACAGAACCGCAAACGAAAAAAAACAACACTGAATGATCTTACATGGAGATATGCTTCGTGATATTTCACTGCACAAGATCCTGTAAAAGTGATAGGAAACATACATACATCTGGCAGTATCATATAGCTGCTGTTGAATTTTGTATGCTCAGTAATACCCAAAGACATGTAGTGACAATCATTTCGGCAACATGTGAGACATTAACAAACAATCACTCATTACCATTCATCCATCTATTGTCTACGTCTAGTCTAGTGCAATTGTGCACCATCACAGCTAATCAGTGAGTAAATTGAATTCTGTATCTAGAGGAGTATTGGAGGAATATTTGTTTAAGAATGAAAGTTAATCTTCTAAACCTCTAATGTCACGATGACCTTGATATACCAAAGAATTTGTTAATTAGTTTTCCCACCTGCTTTCAGATTGAGGTTACACTGCATTTCATTATAGTGATACATCTTAAGTAGGCAAACAAACCTCTGAGTAGCTCGGCACTGAAAGGGAGTCCTCCTCTGAATATGCTTCCTCAGACACCAAGGTAACAGGGATGAGTTCACCAACACTGACATTTGTCACTGGAGTAAGAGTCTGGGCACCAACCTTCGCACCTGCAGATGCCCTGCATCAGGATTTCATGAGAGAAACAATGTTTCTGGCATTGAATATACTTGCACATCAGCCAAAAAATCAAGTATATTTAAGCATGTACAAAAAATTGTTGATGCAGTTTTTGATGTCTTACACCAATGTATTTCACTGCACCATAGAATGAAACTATCTTGTTACAGATCTGTACTCACCTTGCATCTACTCGGAGGGCAGCCTCCAAGCGATGTGCAAGGGCGGGTGAGGTGCTGAGAGGTAGGTGGCCAGGGCGTGTTCTTTGCCCATCAGCACTCACTACTCTGGGAACGGCTTCATCCATGCTGCCTGCATCAGACCCATCACCAGAGGGAGAAGCTTCTTGGGCAGAAGGGGTACCAATGGGTGGACTGCCCACAGCAGATCCGTCATCATCATCACCAAATGATATTATTTGAGGTTGAACACGACGCCGGCGCTTCTGCTCACTTCGACGCTTTCCCGTGGATTCTATCAATGAACAATGATTTTAGGTAATTTTTTGAACACCAAAGAGATAAATATGAGACGAAGAGTACTGGAAACATACACATACAGAGAATTTAAACTGCCCCATAAGAAGAAAGGATGGAAGAAAGACAAAAGAAAAAGAAGGAAGAAAGAGAAAAGAAAAACAAGAGAGAAGGAAGAAAGAAATGAAGACAAAAGAAGGAAGAAAGAAAGAACGAAAAAAGAAGGTAGGAAGGAAGAAAGACAAAAGAAAAGAAAAAGGATGAAAAAAAGAGAAAAAGAAATGAAAGAGAGATATTGAAAATAATAAAATGAAACTGAAACAAAAGTAATTGGAAAATATGACTCACTTTTTTTCAATCTTCAATGATTCAAATAATTCATGGTAAAATGACCTACCAAGTCCCTTACTGGCTGGAATGACGGGCTCAGGGCAGAGTGAGGGAGTTGCTTCACCTTCCGGAGCTGCACATGCTTCCAAATTCAGCTGAGGGTTGTCTATGCTGATAGCAAATAAAATGGAACCTAAACCTGCAAAATAGAACATGTCACAAATGCATATTTTTTTTATTTTCTGTTGGTTTCCACAACCTTTGTCTTTCCGTAAATAAGCAACATAGATGACTGTTTGAAAGTTACTTTTGCAATATTCACCTCCTTTAATTTGCAAATACTCATTTCAAAACACTGGCTAGACAAAATTAATGCCAATAAGTCATTTATTTCAATTAAAAAAAAGTTTTATTGCAACACTTAATCAGGCAAAGAAATTATTAATTTTTTAGTAAAATATGAATAACAATTGCTCATTTTGGCGTGATTCTAAAAGCTGATATTATATAAAAAATATTTTCTTGAGATTTAAAATTCATGATAGAATATAATTAATTCTGATTGACTTTGCAGTATGTAATTCAAAGAAAATTTCATTCTCCTACTCAATAACCTGAATTCCTTATTTAAACCACACAACCATTCACACACCTACAACTACACTTTTTCAGTTACATCTGGATTGTATCACATCACCTTCAATATAAATAATGAAAAATCATTAACTTTCAGGATTATCCAAGAATATAACATAAAAACCTTGTTCTGGAAGTATGGATGTTCAACAAATAATTAGAACTTTCAAAGACAGGAAGTTGCCTCATGACACATACCATTTAATTAGTAAGAAAAGAAAAAAATTAAAATAATCTCTTCGGAGGAATGATGACTTGAGATTAATAAATATATAACAAAGAGTAGGGTATGACACCACAACACATCATTCCTATAAAAACACTACTTCATTGGCTTCAACAAAAAAAAAATAATGGTTCCAGACTTCAGAATAGATGGGGAAAAAAGTGAAGCACAAGATGGGGAGAATTTTCTGAAATTAACAAGTGAAACAACTTCCTACATTCAGGCCATAATTAATATACAAAATTAGGAAATTAGGTTTGTGTAATTCAAATTTTATATCTTTTTTTTTTTAGCACTCCCAGTGGATTTAAAAAGTTTATTGCTTTAACCACATCATTCTACCTGTTAGAATTTCTCCATGTTATTTATGTTGCAGGTTTACCTGCAGCCATTGTAGGCAAAGTAGCACTCCGTTCAGGATCTTGCAGGAAAGCCCAGTCTTCATAGAACATAGCTACATGTTGAGGATTTGCCAAAAGACATTGCAGATATCGTTCCAGAGAGCGTTCATTGAGGGCTGCACGCAGCCATGCACGTCCTCGACCAGTATCAGTCCATACTTGTTTCAGCAGCAGATATCGCTCTAATTCATGTCTTGTTAGATGCTCACGTACATAGTGCCAGAACACTGTAACATTGTAAAGAACATTACAATATAAAACTCTTGCAATTTGTTAACTCGCATATGATGTTATATTTCTTAGATCTTGTACTTAATTTTCTAGCCACATTACTTTTTAAGAACAATAATCTTGCATTTTTAAACTTAATTTCCTAGATTGTTTTCATTCTTATTTTTGTGTTCACTATTACTTTATTATAGTTTTTTAGACCTCTTAACCAGGATTTGAAAGCACTCTGCAACACAATAATACTTCTTTAAAACAAAATCTGTTTTGGTAATTATTTTCTAACATGATTATATTATTATTTATGTATACAGAGAATTTACTACACAGTTGTTTCTATGTTGTATATTTCTTTTTGGAGACATGATCGTAAAAATACAAATGATTTACCAACAGCATTCATGTGTTGCAGAAAGTTGTATTTGAATTTTGCAAAAATTCTCCTTCAAAAAACATTCAAATACAGGTGCTGAAGGTAAGAATCAAGATTTTTAAAAAATTGTATGCATAATTTTTGTATCTTAATCTATCCTTTTCTTTCAATCATTTGGTGTTTAACCTCAAAAATGTCAGCTTCGCTGCCCAGCTTCACATAACAAGTAAAGACTTGCTTTTTTTTCCAATTTTTTATTGGCAAGTGTATGGGTTCTCATGATATTAATTAATTGATATTAACTAATATTTTATCACAGATATATGGAGAAAAAAAAATAGGATTCAAAATATTATTTTAAGATACAGCAGTAGTGTAAACCTGGGGGCACTACAGCCTTTTCCATAATTCTTGGCTAAGGATTTATGGGATGGTGCAATTGACAAAGCTGGCTCCCTAATCCCTTAACAAGGTTCAGGCACTGAAACGGGTCCAAGGGTGACCCCTGAAGTAAATATATTACATTCAAGTTTGAGGCAGACCCAAGTGCTACCTTCATGTGAGGTTTGGTGGGCAGAACTCTTAATCCATGGTAAATCAACCCAATTGAGTGGCAGAGAAACACAGAACAATTTCATAAAAGACCAACAGATGGTAGCCGGGTAAGGAGCACGATAAAGTCATAACAGTAGTCCCAACAATAAAGAAATAGGGGTACAATTTGTTGTTCATAGTACATTTATAAAGATAAATGATTATTGTCTGCCTTATTTAAGAAATTTCATAGAAAAAGGCCAATTATAAAGACACAAAACTATAAAAACAGTTTTTTTTATATTATTAAATTAAAAAACCTTACAGATTATACTCACAAATGTTAAACTAACAAAAAAAAACAACAAAAACACACACACACACACACACACATTTGAACCTGAAGGGTACATTACACGGTTAGCTCCAGTGTCCTGGGAAACATAGCTACTATAAAAACGTTAAAAAATAACTAAAATACACATCAGTTCAAAACTGATAACATCTTGTTGAATTAACTTTCTTCTTTAAGTTTATGTGTATTTCATCATTATTCAATTACAAGATAGGATTGAGATTGGAATTCACAAAAACATGTGTTTTCAATTTTTTATTTTGTGGTAAGAAACAACCACATGGTCAAAATGGGAAAAAAGACACTGTACTTCATCTAATAACAATACTGGTGCACTATTATTATGATATTTTGAAGTTCAGAAATAGTTTCATTTGCATATCTATATTTTTCTGGCTCGCTTTTTAGAAGTACACTATGGTAAATAAATAATGAAAAATAATAGGGTTCAGTTGAATCATTATTTACAAGAAATTTTATTTCACTGGTTTCTGATTGTTCATCAATTTCACACCAATCCAAAGGAAATGAAATTTCTTGAATTTGAGAAGACTTGCCAATAGCATTATTCACACCATTATCTCTCTTCACTATCATTTTCATTGGTCAAGCTAGTCAACAGTCCAGGAAGAAAATTGTCCTTATTATAAGACTTCAGTTCCAATTCATTATTCAAAATCTTTTGAAGTTCTAATGTTGAGAATCACAGTGAATTTGACTTGTGTATATGGCTTCTAAACATTGTCTGCTAACAGCGCAAACACTACTTATAAAGCCATTGTGAATGTAATTGACAATTACCACAGATACAAATATCTATTCTAGGGAAAAATTGCAAATACGTCCAGCGACTTTCTTGGTAATATTAAGAAGCATATCCTAGGTGCTCTCAGCATCTCAGACTTTTATAGCCCGACAAAGATGAGAAATGCAGAAGAACGCATGTCATACATCCTTTAGACATTGCAGTAATATGAAGATGACATATCTTCGTATCTTAGGATCCAAAGTGTTAATTTAATATATTTATTTTTAAAAGTTTACAAACTGTTGACAATTTTGTCTGTTTATTATTGGCCTTTTTATATGTACATAAAGGGAATGTAATTTCAAAATTGTAGTTAATATTTGCATTGTTTTTCAGTAGTACAAACACAGCTTGATAAACAGACCTCGCATTATTGTCTTCGAGAGAATTTAGCACTTTCGAATATTACTTTAATCTATTACTAACATTATTAAAAGGGAAGAAGATTTTTATTAAGAAATTGTAAGTCAGAGAAAACAAGTCTATATGTAATGTTCTCACCTGAAGTTTCTTGGGGAGATCCTCTACTGAAATTCAGGCTGTTTGAAACAAGGTCTGTAACATGCCTGCAAAATCAGAAGATAAAGTCAGGACATTTTATAATATAATATACAAAGGAGCATTCAACATTTGTTTTCCAAACAGACATATTTCTATATAAAGAATCCACACTTTTACCCCATGTAAAAATTCCAAAACTAAGAATGGATGACATTTCAACAGCGATGCTATCGCCACCACACTAATATAAATGTGAGGTGTGACAAGGCAAGGGGTACATTGGTGAAAATTTACTTAGATGCGCAAATGGAGGAAAGTTGAATTAAAGAATATGTAATGGTGGCAAAAGAATATTACTGCAGCACTAGGAACACGTTACTACTAGCACCCTTCGTACTTCAAAGACTTTTGTTCTCTAAATAACATTCAGTACATCAGCTGGTGTGTGTTTTTGTTAACTTTCTTAATTTGCTTAAAGCAGTTAGTTCAATACCTGGGCAAAAATATTTCAATGCAATTGAAGTGATTATATTAGTTAATTTCTGCAACTTCTGTTCCTTTGATCAATTACAAAACCATTATGTCATGAGTCGGTCATTAGATTTAAAAAGTCACAACCTTACTCTTTCTTTTTCAAAACAATGTTTAATCCCTTAATGCCTCGCAGCTTGTAAAATTATATGTATTAATGTAAACCCTATGCCTGTGAAAGGAAGAAATCTTCAAACTACCACTGAATATGGAGGCTCCAAGAATGAAGGCACTCAAGTACAAGATTAAGATAATGATGATGATTTCCACATTTGGGAGGGACAACAGGTTTTTTGGACAGCAACTCATTTAGTAAGCGCTTTGATCATACAATAAATTTCTTGTTTTGGTACTCAAAATTGTTATTACTATTGCTCTGCCCACCAATGCATCTTCAGAAGCTTACGCGTAAAACAGCATATTTTTAACAATGCACAATGATAACGGGCATTTTATTATTGTAAATTATATATTTTAAATGTACATTAATGAATGATTAAGGGATATAAAGCAGGACCACAAATTAGGTAATTTGCACTCGTTATGCTTTCACATAATTTTACAAATCCATTCACTCAATCATATTTATCAACTGATATATCCAAGCTATGAAAAGGTCGCTTGTACCCCTTGGCTTCTCAACATCTTGCACGTCACACTTTAAATGTTTAGAAAACACTTTGGTCACCTGAGTAAAGCAAAACTAAACAATTCTGATATTAATTTGAGCAAATTAGTAATCTGTTTTAAAAGAGAAATGGCAATCTGTGACTCAATACACATCAAATTCAGCATACAAAGTTTAGATATCGACTTATTTAGTCAAAAACAGTCAAAACTGTATGTGATGTTTGGGGGAGAAGATCATCTGCTACAGTTCACAATGGTTAGAGTATATTACACAAATTAATGTTGCCAGGCATCTATAACAATAATAATAATAATAATAATAATAATAATAATAAATTGCAGAATAACTTTGCACCAAGTGTTGGCCCTGAGGACCCCTCTTAGTGTCCTATAGCTCTGCAGTGCACCCAGTGCAGCTGACCTGAGAGTGGAGCCGCTCTTGGAAGCAGAGAGTGGACGAGCACGAAGACCGTGGGCTAGGGCTTCTTCCATGCAGGAGCACAGCTCTACTACTCGCCCATCAGCCTCGGTTGCCAGCTCGGCACGACCCCCAAAGCGCACCTGGCACTCCTTGACGGCCTCCAGAAGGCCGGCCAGGAGGCGCTGACGCTCTCGGACGCGCTCCTGCCCCGCTTCTGGCACAGCCGCAAACTGCGACATCTCCTGCTCTGCGCAAAGCATGCATCCGCGTTAAGTTCATATGTCTAAGAGCCAGGGTTTTGGAAAACCAAAAGCGCGTGTGACATTTAAACACCAGTGGCTCTGTCACTCACTGAGTAAGACACTTTATGTTACGGGTGGTGGCGAAGTCGACAGCGCACTGCTCATTTGCGGTCTGACCCTGGACGTCAGCATCGTCACATGTTGCGAGTATCAGGAACTGATAAATAACGAAGGGTGTCCTTCCCGTATCCAATGACTTTTCCTCCAGTCTAGCCTTCTGTTTTGCCTGTTTTGCATCAATATTCCATTGATTGTAAGTTGTGTGCTGCTGTTGTGTGATGTGCCAAATATACCACTAGAGACGCTACTGTCGAATTTCGCTGGCTCAAATGTTTTTCATGCAATTTGTCCACATAGTTTCACAGCCGACTATTATAATAACTCGTAGTAAATAATAGTAGGCTATGACTATGTACTATTGACATTGTGCGCTTTCCCGCATTATTATTATTATTATTATTATTATTATTATTATTATTATTATTATTATTATTATTATTATTATAAATTTGTTCACTTGACAACCAGAATATTAAATTTAAAATTACATTCATAAGAAATAATGTATTTTATTGAATTGTGAATTCTGTGAACACACTGAACTGTGAACTGTGAATTTTATTGAGCTGTGAATTCTGTCGACAAAGTGGATTTAAAAAAGCATTCTTTAATCACAAACGCAGTTTCTAAATTATTACATGTAAGTAAATAATTCATAATAATCTTGAGCTTTAAAATATTAAAATATCAGGGGCGAATCGAGAGACAAATTTTGGGACGGGAAATTAAAAATATTTTGGTCGAATGTGTCATTACCAATTTTGTAAAATATTGATGGCTACACTCAGCTCATGCTGCTACTTTATTCGTTTTCATGTTTGTCCGAAAATACTTTTGCTTGAAAGTTTCGTGACAAGTTAAAATATGCATACAGAAAAAATGCAGGGGGGGGGGAATTTCCCTACCCGTGGATACGTGCCTGAAAATACTTATAGGTCTCATTTTATTTCGTGTAACCTGCTCATAAAAAATTACATTTTTGAAGTTTTTTTGTTTTGTTACTGTATTTTTTATCAAAAATAGAAATAAAATAATGCTGAAGGTTACCTACTATGGGGAAACCTATGCAGCGGCATTCGTACTTCAATTGATGAATTCTGTCGCCAACCTAACAATTGTAAATGTTCATGGAGACATCCAGAATGACGTCACAATGTTTGGCGGGAAAGTGTTGGGTGGCAAGCTCTGCAATGAGCGTAAGCGATTCCTAGAGAATTATTAAATATAATTTTTGGCTAGATTATTCGGTTGCCGAAATGCGTGTGTCTTATCACATTTGTTATTTACAATCATATTATCTTTCTTTCGGTTTATTTAGGTTCTGGCTGTGAATTCTGTCGACAAAGTGGATTTAAAAAAGCATTCTTTAATCAACACTTATCAAGTCGATACCTTTTTCTTTTTGAAAACGATTCGAAGTAAATTTTATTATGACTTTTAGTACTGCTTTATAATGCTGGACTTAGCTTTTATACCAATGAAGTCTTGAAGGAAATGGCTTAACTTTTGCGCAATTAAAGTCTTAAGATCCACAACATTTTAGTGGCTCATACATATTATGACGCTGTTTGTACAACACGTTCAGACAATGCAAGTAAATGACTATTTATTGAGAACTATGTCCTGTAGTGGGTTGTTTATATTATTATAAAAATATGGAAATATATACGTTTTCACATGAAACATCTGACAATGAGGATAGGAAAATCTTAAGACGTGTAAATTGCGAATTACGAAGATGGACGGAATCAGTAACCTACTATTGACTTGAAATAACCATCTAACTTCTTGCTTCAAAGCATAAATCTACTTTTGTCCTCTTTTTTTAAGGGTGCTATAATTTTACATTCCTGATTTTTGGAAACAGTAAGGCATCTAAAAAGGCTTATGCTGTCTCTCCTGGCCCCTTTCGCCCCAGTCTTATCGGATACAACTTGATTATCGTGAAAATACAACTTTATTTTAGACAAAAAATAACATCTGACATCGAGAAAGTGTACCCAAACAAAACAGAAACGTTTTAAAACCAATTTAGGACGAAGAAAACCAACGAAGAATGATCACGACGTTTTAAAAGAAAATCGACACTTTTGTCGTGTTTTATCCATAATTCACGGCTTATAGCAGCTTGACACCAAGAGGGGACGGTGCTGTCCTCCGAACGACTAAAACTCACGTGTTCTGGATATCTCTATCATGGCCTACACTACTGATTAAGCCATATCTCTCTGTAGTAGAATTTCTGAGTAGGCTATGTCTACAGTAGAGAATGCCATGGTGCTATTCAATGTGAACCGTGAAAACAATTGAAAGTGTACTTATACCCAGCTCATACCATTATACAACACCTATTCATTCATCCGCCTATTCATTGGTTCGGTAATGAATTGGAAGAGTTTAATGAATATTGAGGGAGACGGAGGGAGTTGCTTTAGTGGTCGCCAACAATGACGTGGGCTCAACATAAGTCAATTTCATTAACACGTTGGACAGACTCGAGGTTACTTTACGTTAATTCCGTAGGTGGAAGGAATGAGCCTTATGAAAGTGGGCACGCATAGCGACGCGTCACTGCGCCGCCAACGTTATTTTGTTGAGCCTCTACTCGAATTCACCGATCACCTCCTCCCCCAATTTAAAGACAAGTTTTGTTTAAAAAAAGGGGGGAAGACAACTAAATTTCTTATCGTTGAGTGACATTCTCGCATCAACCATCACCGTTCCATAATATTAAAGTGATCAATGTTTTTACAATGAAAGGAAACGAAAAATGTATGAAAAAAGGACAACATAAAGAAATGAAATGAAACGATGAACAACAATGAAAAGTTATTAATTATACAAAACTACACTAATTATGCTTACATCTCTTTTAATTATTTAATTAAACGAGTATATTTCTATTGAATTAATATTTTTATCAACATACAATTTTTTAACAATATATTGGAAATTTTGGAGCAAGAAATCAAAAATATTGGATAGTATATTAAAACAATGTCCTTCATATTGGATTTTACGGTAAGTGCTGGAGCTATAGAATCAACATTCAATCGTGATTTCTCTCTTAACTAACTAGATTACCACACATAAGTTTTAAAATATAGAAACGGAGTAGGACACTTATCGAGGAAGGACAGAACTTATAAAAGAAGGTCCTGAGGTAAAAGACTGTCTTCCCTAAAGGAGGGCGATTGGTCACCATAATATTGTATGATTCGTGACACATCACTATGTTTTGCCAATTGTTTTAGTAGTTTAATCATATATAACATTTTATACGGTTTTTAATATTATTTTTGAAAAGTTTAGTCTGATTTTAAGAACAATTGGGGGCCCTTCGGACCCGTGCGTTAAGATGTGCCTGAAGCAAGGTGCATATATAATATTACGTATACCTTGAGTTACGCCGTCATTCCGCTCGCGATAATTCGTTGTTCGTGCTTATAAAAATACACTGTGTAGTTCTGTTAAGTTGGCGAAATCAACCCACAAGTTAAATGGGGCCTATTCCTAGTACGTAAACTACATCCAAATATGTATTAGCCATCTAGGTGAGAAGTACACGTAAACTTCCGCGGCTCGATTCCATAAATTCTCGGCTATCCGGGGAACGCCGCGTCGTTGGCTGGGGTG